ATTAATCGGCATTCTGTATTTTATTCATTGAAAACCACTCAACCTCTACCTTTACTTTCCTTTGATCGCAATCTCTGTTGCCATTGAAAAGAAGTGAACACCACTTATCAAACAATAACATAACTTTAACAACCACGTGCATATGTTTAGACTTAATCCTTCTTGAATAAACTTTACAAGTGACACACAGTGAAGTCTAGACTATAGAAAGTGTCGGCTAGCTTCAAACATGGCCTCCCGTGGCGCTGAGAGGCATGGTTTGCTTAATCAAGGACTTCTGATTCTTCAACCCAGATTCCAGAGTGGACATGAAAGAAAATGTGGGATCCGGTAAATGTTTGTGGTTAGTTCTTCTTCGCATATTTATTGTATAGAAGAAAACTTGTATGCGTGGCTGATCTTGCTTATTCAATTTAGGAAACAACAAATAATAATGTTCTTTCAGAAATAAGATTCCTCCACAGTTGTTTTGTTAAAGTCACTGAAGCAGGTATGTTTACTTCAAAATATGCAGATTTGTATGCGCCATTGAATGGCATGAAAAAGTGGTTTAAAACGGCGCCTGTAGATACGGGTTCTGGAATAACTTAATCGTTTTGTAAAGAATTTAAAATGCAACTGTAGTGAAAACACGTGAAAGAGGCAACTGAAAGCAATGCTTGACTAAAAGAGGGGGGAAAGGAGGAGTAAGCTTGATAGCTCTACTAAAGGGGAGGTGGACAATAAACTTTAGAGATATTATACATCATAAGCTATCTGACGACACCGACATTACCTTGTAGTAGGGTTTTCGAATTGAAAGCCCTGCCGCTAGAGGTCTGTGTTTGGCCGCTTCGCCTAGTAATTTCCCTTGATATCAGTAGATATCAGTGTGTTTTTCACGCCCTTTTGAGTAAAGAAGGAGACAAAATATGTAACCCTGTATACTGGAGAAGCAGTTCGTCATTATAACCAACACAATAGTTGTGAAGTGTAACTGATTCTATAAACATTAGCGCAGAATAAACTAATCGTTTTTAATGCAGCCGAGTTCTAGCTTGTATAGATCTATCTAAAGAGAGTTTGAGTTGGAACTATTACATCTATCCGACAGTATCTTATCCACTTGCAGGTGTTAGAACTTCATACATCTATTCTATAAAGTATCTTCAAAAAGTACTTGTTGGAATTATTACGTCTATACGACGGTGTCTTATCCAACTTTACGTGTTTGAAGTATTCCATCTACCATTTAAAGTATCTTACCCAACTTATTCAAATACAGGTGTTCGAACTGTTACATCTATTTTATAGTGTCTTATCCACTTGTAGGTGTTGGAAATATTTTTTTTTCTATCTGATAAGGTTCCATACTAGAATGTTGAAACTATTATATCTATCTGATAAAGTGTTTTACTCAAATGTAGGTGTTGGGACTATTAGCTCATTCGGATAGCGTCTTATTCACATGTAGTTGTTGAGCTTACTACGTTTATTCGATAAAATCTTATAATAAAATGTAGGTGTTTGAAGTATTATATCTATATGATTGTGTATTAGACATTTTTAGCTGTTAGAACTATTACATCCGTCCGATATTGTTTCTAACCCAACTGTATCTGTTGGAACATTTGTATCTATTCGATAAAGTGTCTTAGCTACTTGTAGGTGTTGGAACTATTACGTCTATCTTAAAAATTACCCACTTTTTACATTTATTCGATAGAATTTCTTATTCAAATATAAATGTTGAAGTATTACACCCATTTGATAGTGTCTTATCAATTTGTAGGTTTTGGAACTATAACATTTAACAGATAATGTGTCAATCACTTGTAGATGTTGAAACAAGTACATCTACCCAATGGTGGCTTACTCAATTGTATATTTTGGAATTATTGCGTTCAAACGAAAAAGTGAATTTCTTTTTTTATAGGTATTTGAGCCATTTCATTTATCCAATAATATGTTTTACTCAAATGTAGGTGTTGGAACTATTACGTTTATCCAATAAAGTGTCTTATTAAATGTAGGTGTTCGAACTACAACATCTATCTGATAGTGTCTCCTCTCACTCAGTTGTAGGTGTTGAAATCAAGCTGTACTGTCAGTTTCGGTTTGTGTTTTAGTGAATGCTCCTGAAGAAGCTGTAAAGCAAAACGTTGAGTGTCTAATTAAATAAAAAAATTTTGATGTTATAAGGTAGTTTATTTCTAGTATTAATATATCAGATAAAGTTTCTTAACCACATGTAGGTATCAGAATTATTACATTTATTCGACAAAGTGTCTTACTCAAAACTGATGTTGAAACTAGTACATCTATCCGATAAAGTGTCCTACCCACTTGTACATGTTGGAGCAATTACATCTACCTGATAATTTCTTAACCACTTATAGGTGTTGAAACTAGAAAATTTCTCCGATAAATAATCTTTGTGAAATGTACGTGTTCGAACTATTATATCTATCCAATAATGCCTCACACACATACTCCATAGAAGTATTACATGCATCCGATACTTTCATACCGACATTGTAGGTATTGGAACTATTACATCTTATATGATAAAGTGTCGTATAAAATGTAGGTGTTTAAACTCTTATATCTATCCTATAGTATCTTACCCACTTGTAAATGCTAAAACTATTACATTTATCCTGTAAAGTGTCATATACAAATGTAGGTGTTGGAACTACTATGTGTGTCCCATAGTATCTTACACACTTGTAGGTGTTGAAACTATTTCATATTTCTGACAAAATGCCTTATTGAAACGTAAAGGTGAAAACTACTACATCTTTCCAACAAAGCTCCCACTAGTAGGTATTGGAACTATTCAAGTTATTCGATAATGTGTTACACTGAAACGCAAGCGCTGAATTAATTAAATCTATTGGCTAGTGCCTTATCTACCTACATGTGTCAGAACTATTACATCTATCTGATAAAAATTTCGTACTCAAATGTAAATGTTGGAACTATTATATCAATCCAAAAAAGAGTTTTAGCCACTTTTGGTAGCTGAGATTATTAAATCTATCCGAGAAATTGTTTTACCCACTTGAAGGTGTTGAAACTCTTTGATTTATTCGATATAATTTCTTACTCAAATAGAGGTTTTGGAACTATTACATCTATCAAATAGTGTTTTACCCACTCGTAGGTATTGTGTTATTATAATATCTATCCGATAGTGTCTTACCCACTTGTAATTTTTCGAACTATTACGTTTTTCCGATTAAGGTTTTTACTTTTTACTCAAATGTAGCTGTTGGAACTATCTTATAAAATCTCTTACTTTTAGGTGTTGGAAGTATTATATCTATCATATAGTGTTTTACACCTTTGCAGGTGTTTGAACTATTACATCATTCCAATAAAGTATCAAACTAAAATGTAGATGCTGGAACTATTACGTCTATCTGATAGTGTCTTACCAATTTGTAGGTTTTGGAACTATTCTATCTATCCAATAAAGTGTGTAACCCACGTGTAGGTGATAGAACTATTATATCTATGCAATAAAATATCTTACATAAATGTAGATATTGGAACTATTACATTAAAAATATATTTCGTACACTCTCGCACATACATTACTGTAAAATTTAAAAGGTTGTTTTGAAAACCATTATATTTGAAAAGCAAAGAAATAACACTTTACTAACAATAAGGTTCTTCTGTATAAAACCCTTGAGAGCTGAAGTACGGTGTATAATTGTTGTTCTTTTTGTTAATCGTGCATGATACTGCTGTTACGATTTACAATGACAAACATGATTAGATATGCATTGTTATTTTTAAACCAAGTTACTTAACTCGTATGTTAATAATTTAAGGGTGCTTGCTTTATATAAAAATTGTGATTGTAATTGTAATTGGTTGTAGTTAAGCACAAAGCTACACAAAGGACTATCTGTGCTCTACCCACCACGGGTATCGAAACCCGGCTTCTAGCACTGTCCACAGACATAGATACTGTTGTGCCACTGGAGGAAAAAATTAATGAAAACATATCACGATGACAGGATGGATTCTGAGTAGAAATAAAACCATGAAAGCTAACATGACAAAAACAGGGATTTAATGTAGAAATATCAGCTTTATCGAAGTGTGTATCAATTAGTTTCATGTGATAAATAATTAGATTTTTCTATTTTGTGTTACATTACCACTAATCATTAAAGGAGCCTTAGTTTAAAAGATATTTATTCCTATTTAACTGTGTCCTCTCTGCTTTTTCAGTCCTCGTATTGTGTTTTTTTTTCTATTTAATTTCTATCTCTATTTCTTTTCTTTTTACCAGTCTACTACATTATGAGTTTGTTTAAGTTGGTGTGAAATAATGTGTCGATCATTAAGTACTTTAGGGAGCCATCTAGCTGCGATTCACTAGCTGGCAACTCAAATATTCTATGTTCCCATAAAAGAAAGAAGACTTAATCTGTGTCATCACATCATCCATTGCTTTCTGTGTGACACCAGCTTCTGGCAACGCCAAGATTGCTGGATAAAGAGTTTTAGACACATTCAGTAAATGATTTAATCTGGATGTATAAAACTTAGCAGAATAATCTAACCGTTTTAGAGGTAGGTATCTGATCACGTAAATCTGTTATATCACCAATTTTACACTGTTTTACTGAAAACATCAGCTTGTACAGAGTAATCATCTTTCATTGTATTTACTGTGAAACTGACATAGCTGTAGATGATTTATAATGACATGTGACTTTACCTTTCATATATATCTATATTTCGTTTGTCAGACTGTCTTTCAAAGTTCTAGTTTATTTGCCGTAGAGTTTGTTTGTTTGTTTTGAATTTCGCTCAAAGCTACACGAGGGCTATCTGCGCTAGCCGTCCCTAATTTAGCAGTGTAACACTAGAGAAAGGCAGCTAGTCTTGCGCGAAATTCAAAACAAGTAGACAAACTATGTAGGTAGATTACTTTGATCAGCAATTAATATTAGATAATTAATAACATTCACTTGAAAATTGTTATTCTCCCACTACAGGTTTCGTCGATTAATCGAGTTTTACGAAATCTTGCGGCTAAAAAGGAACAACAAGCGCAAGATACTGTTTACGATAAATTGCGCCTGCTCAATGGACAAGCTTGGCCTCGCCCAAACCCATGGTACCCTGGTAGTGCAACGTTTGGTGGGATAACACCCGCTTGTATTCCTCCTCCAATCACTGCATCAGGACACCACAGTGACAATGGCCAAGTCCAGAAAAAGGGTAAAAATGTTATAATTTTCTTATATAAATATTATTTTTTATGTTTATCTGAACAAAAAATACCAATACATTATCCATACACGAATAATTTCGAAGCAAATTACATCTGGGCGGTTTTGTTTCACATATCGTGTACGTTATTTTAAATACGATGAAAAGTACTGGAAAGTTAATAAGATAAATGTTTAGCCCTACTTGAAACACCACCGGCTCAACTGTACGTAACGTCTTTAGTTGGCTTTTTCTACTAGTGTTCCTGGATCTTCATTCATCTTTATGAAGAAACTATACGAAAGTATGTTGGAAAAAATCTAATGCCTGATCTTTCTGAATTTCAAAAATATGTTGGAAAAAATCTAATGCCCAATCTTTCTGAATTTCGAAAATATGTTGAAAAAATCTAATGCCTGATCTTTCTGAATTTCAAAAATATGTTGGAAAAAATCGAATGCCTGATCTTTCTGAATTTCAAAAATATGTTGGAAAAAATCTAATGCCCAATCTTTCTGAATTTCAAAAATATGTTGGAAAAAATCTAATGCCTGATCATTCCGAATTTCGAAAATATTTTGGAAAAAATCTAATGCCTTATCATTCCCGATTTCTTTTAATAATATTTTCTCCTTATTAAGCGTTGTTTATTTGTTAGATATCTGAATAAAAGAGCAATTGTTTTAAATTTTTATCGTCAGTCATATTGCAGCTTCTATCAAAACCGTATCTTCCACAGTATGCGCTTGATTTACGAATTATTAGTTAAATGTCTTTCTGAAAGCTAGTATTATATCACGGGTGTTGAAAATGAGGGCTTCTATGAAAAATAAAACAAGAATTTTGATGTACTTATGACTGAGTTAAATCCTGATAAACTAACTCTTGCTATAGAATAACCAGTATTAGTATCTTAACTTAGTAACTCATTAAAAACTTCCAGCAAACAAAGCTTGGTTCCTAAGTTACGTTTACTTGTGTAGTATCTTGTACAGAGTCCGCTTCTGAAGTATAACATGCCATCCAATTAGAAATGGTTGCGTGTAATTCATCCTAATTTCGAAGCTCATGCAGTCGACTGTGTTTCTACGTGTTCACGTGTCTTTGATCTTATTCATATGCACTTGATGTGTTGTTTCGGAATACAATGAGCGTACGTGGCTTGACTTAATACTATTGTTTACATAGCTCCAAAGTTAGCTCATCTCGTTACTAGTTCATTATTATTATTTTTTTATTCCACCTGAAGAGTCTTTAACTGGTTATACATCACGATAACAAAAGCTTTGAAAAGTGTGCGTGGATGTAAACAGTGTTAGACGCTCTGTAATAAAGCTGAAGATAGCTTTTAACGGGTAAAGTTAGGAACACATTGGAATAAACTTACTGAACTTTACGTAATTATAAGGTGTTTTAGTTGAATTAATCCCGAAAAAGAAATCGTTTTTTTTATCTCCTTCGCATGCTGGAAATCTTCCTGTGTCGCAGTTTGGGTACGGGTGTCGATGGCTAAGATAATCTAGAAAATCACTTGGCTAACGTAGTTATACTTAATCAACAAAAGGACATTACAATGAATTCACAAACAAAGAAAAATTACAAAAATATTAAAAAACTGTAAATTATCAATCATAGAAACATCTTCAACAATTATACAAACTTGGTACATCGAGACAAAATCTACAATAAAAGTTTTAAAATCCCAAAAATCTAAAATACGCTAAACTCAAACAAAGGGTACAGTGATAGTTTAAAACACAAAAACTAAAAACACTGGTAGATTAAGTCCGTTACAACCAAAATAGTCTTTACTAACATTTTATAACTTAAAGACTGGTAGATTAAGTTTCTCTTTAAATCATTAAACTGTTATATTAAGTTGGCAAACCCTGAAAAATAAGTAATAACCGATAAAGATAAAACATACTAGGTAAATAAAGCTCGAAAAACTAATGTAAAAACAATTTTTAAACAATCCAAAAAATGATTGGTAGATTAAGCTAAGATATTGATAAACAAGGGTTGAAAGACCCTTTAAAAATGAGAACTAATAATTTATAAGACATAAAATCTGAAGTACTGATGAAGCTCGTCCATCAGTTTTGCGACGGCTTTGTTGGTAAATAAACACCAAATGGATCTATCCTTGATTAAGTCGTCAAACTGGCTAAGCTGATTTTCGCACCACTTGAGGTTGCACTTCAGAGTGTCTTTATAGCATTTTTTTGGGCGTCTTGAGTTGCGCTTGCCCAGCTTTAACTCTCCATAGAAGAGCTGCCTCAGGATTCTGGTTTCATCCATCCGGGTGACATGGCCAGTCCATTGAAATTGGGCTTTCAGCAGCAGTGACTCAATACTAGTTCTACCTGACATATCGAGGACTTCCTGACTGGTGGTTCTGTCTTGCCAGCGAACGTCCATGATAAAGTGTAGCTTTTTCACGTGCCTACAGTAGAGAGTCCATGTTTCACAACCATAGAACAGTGAGGTGTAGACTACTGCTTTGTATACCTTTAGTTTAGTAGACAACTGGGTGTCTTTTTTTCTCCGAAGCTCTGATGCACAGTCTTCCCATGGCTTGGCTGGCTTTCTGGATTCTTGATATGATCTCTTTATCGAGTGTTAGATCTGTGAAAATAATACTCCTCAGGTGCATGAAGTTCTCCACGTTTTTTAGCCGAGTTCCTTTAATTATGATGGCTGGCTGTGGTGGAATCGTGTTTGTGGCTGGCTGAAGAACTCCTGTATTTCCCAGGCTGATAGTCAAGCCAAATAACTTATACACCCCTGAGAACTTGTCAGCGATAGTCTACAGATAACTTTCCTGCAGATGACATAAGGGCACAATCATCCACTTATAATGTTTCAATGATGAGTCTTTTCAGAGTCTTTGTCCGTGCAGAGAAGCATCGTAGATCAAACAAAGACCCATCAAGACGATATTTCACGTAGACACCAAGGTCCAAGTTCTTCACAGCATGGAGCAGAACCTGAGTGAAGAAAAGATTGAACAGAACAGGTGCAAACACACAACCCTGCTTCACTCCATTTGAGATGTCCAACACTTCTGAATATTCTCCATTGGAAAGGACTTCTCTAGTCATGTTGTTGTGGAACAGCTGTTTGAGGGAGGTGACCTTTCTGGGGTAGCCGAGTTTTCTGAGGACAATCCATAGGATTTTGCTGTTGACTGTTTCGAAAGCCTTTGTAAGGTCGATAAAGACGGCGTAGAGATCTGTATTCTGTTCTACGCACTTCTCTTGCACCTGTCTCGCTGTGAAGATCATATCTAGAGTGCTTCGACCTGGACGAAATCCACATTGAGCTTCTGGTAGATTTTCTTCTGTGATACTTCAAGCGAAGATTTTTTCCGGCGATGGAAAGTAGCGAGATTCCTCTGTAGTTGTTGCAGTCAGCCTTTGCACCTTTGTTTTTAAATAGTACAACGTGTTGGCATCTTGTAAGTCAGCTAGCAATTCCTCTTTTTCCCAGATACTGGTCTAAACATCTTGGAAGGCCTCAAATGACACTGTGCCAAGTGACTTGTACATCTCTGAAGGGATCCCATCCTTGCCAGGCACGCTACCACAGTTCGTTTGCATGACGGCTTTTCTAGCTTCTTCCTCGCTTGGGGATAAGTTGAAATCTTCACATACCAGTCTCTGGAGCATATAATGCAGTACAGTTTGATGAACGGTTAAGCAGTTGGCTGAAGTGCTCTTTTCATCTTGCATTTATGCCATCGTTGTCCTTGGTGATTCTGGTGTTGTCTGGGGCAGTTCCTAATTTTAGATCGTTGGATCCACTATTGATCTCATCCATCCAATCCTCCGAATCAGTCTTCAAAAGCTATAGGTTGGCATATCCCTAGGCCACCGAGGGTTTGAACCCCGTCGGCTACCCTCACCTCGTTTAGCCCGCTAGTCGAAACAGTTAGCCTACGTATGGACGTTGCCGTATGCAAACAGCTACTTGGAACCACAGGTGAGAGTTCGGTGACAAGTGGGGGCCAAAGCGGACGAACTACTCCCTACGGAGCACGCCATGTTCCTCCATAAGAGGTGATACTCCCTCTGTGCATCTCAAACATCCCATTATAGATATACGAAGACTATTACACTCTAAAGATGAACGCTACTAGTTTTTCATCTACAACAGTACTATTGGTTTAATAAGCCTATTACACCCTAAAGGTGATCGCTACTAGTTCTTCATCTACAATAGTACTATAAGTATATGAATCCCATTACACCTTGAAAATTATCAGCACTATTAGTTTATCTTTAGCATTGATTACATGCAGAGATAGAACTCGTTATTCATCATCCATTAGGTAGAGATGTAAAAATGGAACTCGTTATTCATCATACATTAGGTAGAGATGT